TTTAAATTAGTATTATGGTTATTTTTTTTTATTTGTAATAATAAAATAAACATTATTTCACATTAGATAATTACCTATCAATGATAAATATTAATTCCATCTTAATTGATTCTAGTTTATTTGAAACTTGCTTAAATGATGGAACCAAAGTAAGCATCAAACAATTGGTCTCATCTATGGGATTATATTCGATAAATGCTCTACAAGTTATCAGTAATATATTAGATATAATACTTTTTTTTATATAATCTCGTAAAACAATAATTTACCTAGGCTTATCAATGTCTTGACTTTTAATAAGAAGTATAAAATCTTTTTCTAAGAAATAAATCTTTTCATTCAAAGAAACTTTAGATGTTCTTTGTTTATCATCTTTAATGTCATGAGAAATATCATGAGAAGGAGATTTGATACTACAAATTGGTGAATTCATCCTACAAGTTAAGAATAACTTGAGAGGGAAATGGTCTAAATCTGAAATTTCATCAGAAAAACGCATCTTTCCGTGACCAACAATATGGGATCCATATCTTGGAGTAATATCAACTGGCAAAATAAACCGAATACTATCTGTTTCTGCATCGTGCTGAAGTTCAGTAACGTATTTAATTTTGATTTCAACCTTTTGGCCTTGCTCAATGTTACCGACAGAACATTTAAATACATCTGAATCTTGTTCTTCAAGTAAATAGGCCCCATGACCTTCCTTGGTAATTTAGTAATTTTATGTTAATAAATGTGGCAGATTAAAATGAAATCAGATTAAAATGAAATTTTTATAATTTTAATATGAAATTTTAAAAAATTTTGGAGTACATTTTTTGGGGGATTTTTTTTAGGGTTAGGGTTAATATTTAGGGTTAGGGATATTAATAAAAGAGCATTATAGGCTTTAAAGGGAACGCAAAGAGACCCCAAATTTCATTTTAATCCGATTTCATTATGATTTGCCACAATAAATGAATATATTTATGAATTTAAATAATTATTATTGTAATGAATACCTTAATAGCTTTTTCATATTCACTCTTGGCCTGTTCAGCTTCTTTAACTATTCCGATCACTTTTCTTTTATCATCTATTGTAGCTTCAAACCCGCAAACTGCCGCGTTACCATGAATCATAAATCTGTAAATTGCTTCTATTTTATCCTTTCCCACGTTTTTATATGTTTGAAAAATATTTACTGAAGGAATAAAACGAGTGAGGCAATGTTAAATTACGCCGTAAAAAGATTCAAAATAATATTTACCTTCCGCCACCATATCGATAACTATCAGGATACATATCATATATACAATATTAATTTCCAGCAAAAAAATAAAAAAAAATAAAAAAATTTATTTGAATGAATAATTGATGTATCTCGCTTAAATTCAAAAAATAATTTCGACGAAGTGCAGATAACATTATTAAGAATTACTTTTGCCTTTATTAAAAACTACTTTTGTTTCTATGAATTTAATTTCAACAATAATTTACATTTACAAAATTTGACTATTATTAAGAAATTGAGTTTCGACAAGTTTCGATTTATTAAGGGATTTCGGCGAGGTACATTAATCATAATTACGTTAAATAAAATTATTTACCATGCGCTTTGACCACAACGTTTATCAAAGGGACGGGTTTTTGATTTTTTTCTTCGTTAAAAAAAAGCATTATTATTATTTTAATAACGAAAAACAAGAAGAGTAGGAAAATTGGGGAGGTTCAGATTTATACGTATGTGCGCATGCAGTAAAAATTTCAGAATAGATCTTCTGACCTTGCATATCTTTTTAGCCAATCATAAAAATATTTTATGCGAATTGTCGAAAAACACGACATGCTGTGTGATCATTTGGATTATGCCGGCAGATAATCAGGCCGGAGGTGATGTTTTATTGAAAGTTAGCAATTATAGAGAAGCGATTGATTAGCCGATATGGCCAAGACATCACGCGACAGTAGCAATCGTGATTGCACTGGGAGTCGCCGTAGGAATAGCCGGTGGTTTCCCGCCTGCCGGAGCAAGCCGGCTGTGATTGAAGAAATGGGTCATGGACTAGGAAAACAGCCCTTTGACGATTTTTTAAAAATTTTGAGTTGTTTGATTAAAATTAAAACGCCGGTTTCTATCTACATATATTTCAATTTTTACCCTACGTTGATATAATAAATTATCGAGATTTTTCAATCCGAAAAAAACAATTCTTCGAAAATTTCATATTCTAAAAATAGATTGACGATCAAAGATCATCCAATCAAAAGTGACAATTAGATCATCAATAAATTACGAATAAACACGTGATCAAATTATTGATTAATTTATCAAATGATTGGATGTCTAAAAGTTAATTAATTGGATGTCTAAAAATAAATCAAAAATTCAGGGGAAAAAAACAACAGAAATTTAGGTAACAAACTATAACGATAATCGGCATTTTCTCAAAATGGCTTTAAATATATTTCATGGTTTTTTTTTTTATTCTGGCGTCTTTTTTGTTACTTGATTCTTTGCGCCATGCATCCGGCAATGGTACTAACCGCATTTGTAATCTTCCCAGGTCGTTACCCGATTCTTAATATTTATATATTTTTTATTTATGTATGTATATTATATATTCATTTACATGATTTATTTATTTGGTTTATTTATTTTCCGTTGTACGCAGTGCGTCGTAAGCAGGGGAGTCGTGTGGTTGCTTCTTTTTTTCGATCACGTAATCTTCCATCACTCCGCATGAATTGTTGAAGTAACATCACATGAAAACTAGCAAATAAATCTTAAGTTTAAAAAAAATAAGCAAAATCGAAGTAAAAATTTATATCCAAAGTTCAAAGATAAGTCTAGATAAATATTGCCACAATGTAAATTAACATATTAGTCTGGATCATTAATTTACTAAACATATAGGCGGATTTTAATCCGATGATTATTGGGAAATTAACGCTGATTGGTTGATTTGTTTATCATAATAGTAAAATTTGACGCTTCATAAAAGTAATATAACACCTGCTATTTTTAATTTATGACAGTTTGAATTTTATATTTATATTTATAATTAACAAGACCTTAGTTTCAAAGACCCAAAATTCTTACTAATGGCAATGTCAGTAGGTAGACCACGTAAAAATATAGAACTGTGTGCAGTGAATGGCAACGATCTTAAAGAAAACAAAAATAGGTTCAGTATTGTGGTATGAAATTTTTGTGGTTATTCTAACAAGACCTTAGTTTCAGTGATTATAAAGCAGTTTTTTATTTATTCTAAATAGCTTAACTTCTACTATGACTTATGGTTACCAGTAAATATTCGTTTAATTGTACTAGGTATGTATTAACAAAAAAAATACGTATGGGTGATATTGTTTAATTTAATATAATTTAAATATTGTAATGCGTCTCTAGTAGAAGTGGTGATAATAGAAAAAAAAATAGAACAGAATTATTATTTAGAATATATGTAATTAAAAGTAAAGCTTCACTGATAATAAATATAATTGACAAAATTATTGTTACGGCTGATGCTAGAAATTTTAAATACTTTAATATGAAATTTACGATTTTTTTATTGTTAGATTATAATTTAGGGTTAGGGTTTATAACAAAAGAGTATAGTTGGATTTTAGCAGGGGTTATAGTTTTAAATCGAGACTCCTAATTTTCAGTTTCAGCCACGTTAACGATCGCATTTTGATCAATATAACATGGGGTGAGTCAGTAGAAATCAAGCAAATCAGGAAAACAACATCTGATCAAATCAACTAACATCAGAAGATCAGCAATAAGAAAAAATTGAGTTAAGCAAATTTATCTAATAGATTTGCTTGACTCAAGCATGTTATTAAAAAACTTTTTAAATAGACTAACTTTTATTGTTACTAGTAAAGTAAGCTAATACTATTTTATTTGAGGTATAAACTTATAACTTGGTATTCTGAACTATATCTTGATTACAAATAGATCTGTTTAATTCACTGTTTTTCATCAAACAAAATTATTTATTATCTTCAAATATTTATCCAACTAACAAATCTTTAAAAGCTAGTCTAACTTTGAGTTATATATTTTTTTATGTTATGCTTATAATAATCGTATATCTATTTTAATTTGAAAGAGTTTTAAAAGCACTTTTATTATTCTGCTAAATAGCAAAAATATTATAATTATTAATATTCTTAAATAATTAATTGTTCTAAAAATTTTACATTTAAGTACTATTATACTAAACTTTTGCAAGTCACTGTCCTTAGAATGAAATAATCATTCTATTAATAATAAAAAGTTTGTAATTTGCTATATCGAAAGTTTATTAATTAACTCGCTATAACGATATAGCTAGATTTTGAGCTAACTTTATTATACAGAAATAATTGATAAGTAATTTGAAATAACATTTTTCTTATTATAAAAACAGTAAATGTAATTCCGCTATTAATTTTAAGGAATATTCTTATAATGCTATAGCACCATGGTACTACTCTATATGTAATCATAAGATCAGGTGTAATCTAAAATCAATTTTATTTATTACTTTAGGGTCAGAGTCATAGTTAGTTTAGGGTTAGGGTTAAGGTAATAGCATAAAGAGATTTTATACCAAATTTAGCAAGGAATTTTTTTAATTAGAATACCAAAAGCAGTTTTATATATAAAATTTTAAGTTATTTTCTGTTTTTTAAAAATTGCAACAATTTCACATTACACCTGATCTTTTATTTTGATTGGCTATATTATCCTAGTGCTATGGTGCTATAGCGCTACAAATTAAATCCCTTAATTTCAAAACCAATAAAGAAATAAATAATAAAATTCAATTATCAATTTTTTTAAAAAAAATTAATTATTAGTTTCAGGTTAGATTTTTACTTTCTTAGACTTTAGTTGATCAATATGTTTTGATGGATGCTATCTAATTTCCTTTATACAAATATCACTTCCACTTTAAACTAATACTACATGCTGGTATTATTTTAGTAAAAAACTTTTTTTATTAGAAATTAAAACAATTTGCGCAATTGTAATTTCTTTTGATATACTATCATAAGATGTTCAGATTATACTTTCCCCATATTATTATTGTTAGAGATTATAAAATATATTGTTTGAGAATTGATAGTATTAGTATAAAAAATTGACTTAGAAATTTGCCACATCTACAAAAAGTTGGTAAAATGTTTCAGTTTAGAAAGTAGTTTACCTGCAATACTATTTGGAAATAAAAAGAAGAAAAAATTGATTAGTCTGTTTGTCGAAAAATAATAATGAGCATCTTAACAACCTTTTTCTCACAAACATATCTAGGATGCAAGCCCTAGTATACTTTAAAAAAATTATTGGGAAAACAGATATCACAACAAAAAGGTGCTGAGACCAATGTTTAAAAAGTATAAATATATATTTTGGATAATTGACTAATCATACTATTTCTACTGCATATACTGAATAAACTAAACTCGAATCTACTATATCTACCAAAATACTGAACTCACTATTACTAAATCTACTGAACCTGCTAAATCCACAAAATTAGTACTCTGAACAGATCAGGTTCAGGTCAGGTTATGGTTAACCCGAACCTGATCTAAAAGTTCAGGTCAGGTCAGGTTGAATAACTTTTGGGTTAGTGCTTCAACTAACTCGAACCTGACCTGAACCTGACCCAACCTGAACTCGACTCAAACTTTGTTAAAGATAATATTAAATATTAATTTTATATTTAAAATTTAATTTAATTTAAGTTAAATTATTTAAACTATTATTAATTTATATTATAGCTTATTAAATAAATTTACTATTAATATATACTTAGATATAGTAGTTTATAATAAATTATAAATATATTTTCTTTATTATTTTATTTTTAAAATTTAAGTAAAATATAT